CGGCCAGGGGCTGCGATGGGGGGCGGGGGAAGGGGGGAGTCTGGCTGGGTGCCCACTTTGGGAAACTGTTCGGGGCTGTAATGCTGAGATTGGAAACCAGTCCCGTCTACTTGGTCTCGTGGAGAGAAACTGAGGCAACTTAACATCACTGTGAAGTACTAGGGTCAGATCTGAGCGTGAATGTCCCTCCAGTGACCTTGGGGGAAGGGCTCCACGGTCCCCCCACTCCCTGGGCCTTGTTTTCTGCACCTGAGAAGGGGGATGAATGTCCCCTTTCTTGGGGTGGCTGGGAGGAGGACCTGGGGCTTTGTAATGGCCTCAGTGGACCAGCGTCTCCTGGGGTTCCCTTGGTTAAATTACCTGTGACCTTGGGGGCCACTCACTCCTCCCTGAGCCCCAGTTTGCCCTTCTGTAAATCAGGTGTAAGGCTGTGTCTGCCTGCCGCTGGGTGTGGGCTTCAGCCCCTGGGGGGGCTGGGCCCCGGGCCCCATGGTGCTCTGGGATCCAGCCCTGTTCTGCCGGCCTTGTCTCTGTGGGTGACTCTGGTCCTGTCTCCCTGGAGGAGCTCAGCGGGTCTCGGAGGCCCATGTGGCCATGTGTACTAGAAAGCGCAGTGTCCCTTTGAGGATTTGTGTCTCAGCCAGGATTGGAGGATTGCTGCTCCAAGGGCCCAAAGCACTGGTGGTGCTGGGACCCCAGAGCCCCAGTCCATCTGGGAGGTGGGCAACTCTTCCTCAGTTGGTATGGCAGCCGTGCTATCTGCCACATCTGGGCAGAACCTGATCTGCCAGTTTCCTGCCACTGGAGAGGGGGGAGGGGACTGCCACCTGACCTGGCCAGGCTCACAGAGACAGCCCAGGCATGGCCTGGCCTGGCCATTGTGGCCTTGCTCTGCCTGGAGGGCCCCCCCCCCAGGTCACTCACTGGAGGGGGAGCCAGGCCCAGGCTGGGCTGGAGGAGGGAGCTGGGAATGTTATAAATAGAGGCTTTCTCTGCTCTGCCCGCCTACCCCCTGCAGCTGCCATCTTGCTGGGAGCAGCTTGGAGTCCAGCACAGATCCCCTTCCCCTTGGCAGGCAAAGGACAAGGTGGCAGGCCAAGGGGGGGGGTCTGAGGTGTCACCTGGCAGGAGGGGCCCCCAGGGGCCTGCCCGGGGCCAGGCTGCCTTGTGAGTGTGCGGGTGAGTGGGGTGCAGCCAGCAGGGCCTGAGGGCTTCTTCATTGCCAGCCTGTGGGCGGCTCCCGCCTTGCCAGGGTGTGCTAGGGAAGTGCCCAGCCCCTGTGTGTACCAGACACAACATGAGGAGACTGACTGCCTGGGCCCCCATGCCACAAGGAGCAGGCCTTGGCCCCGCGGCGGGACCCCGGAGGCCTGGATCCCTGTTTGGGGTTTTCAGGGGGGTTCCGGGGCTGTGCCAGAAAGTCAGCAGGGCCTTTGAAGCCGGCCTGGGCTGGGTGGAGTGGTTCCGATCCGGGCATGGGCGCAGCAGAGGCAGAAGCAGCAGGCGTGTGAGAGGAGAGTGGAGTAGCGCACGGGGTGGTCGTGGTGGCAGCATGGGGGGGCGGTCGTGGTGGCAGCATGAGGGGGGCGGGCGTGGTGGCAGCATGGGGGGGGGGGCATGGTGGCAGCATGGGGGGGCGGGCATGGTGGCAGCATGGGGGGGGCGTGGTGGCAGCATGGGGGGGCGGGCGTGGTGGCAGCATGGGGGGGGCGGGCGTGGTGGCCATGCTGCTGATGTGGTTGTGACCGCAGCCGTGGGCTGGGGCGTGGGGGTGGCTGAGGGCCAGTCACTGCCATCATCCCAGTCAGACAGTGGGCAAGGGATGGCTGCCCGCTGCTCGGGCAAGCTTGGGAGAGCCTCGCCTGGGCTGACGGGCAGTGAGGGCCAGCGGCTAGCCGGGCGGCCCTGCCCTCACCTTGGTAAGGTGAGGCTGTGCTGAAGTACACATTTAGGGCCACACCACTAGTGCATTAAGGTCTTGGCTGGTAGCCAGCAGGGCCCAGGAAGGCCTGTATGGAGGTGATGGTCTCAGCTGACATGGCTCCAGCCTGGGTTAGGTGTGGCTGGGTGATGGAGCCACTCTGGAGTAGATGAGCCTCCTACCCCCAACAAATAAGAAAAAAGTACTCCTATCCAGCCCCTACCGTGCGCTGGCTGTGGGCATTCTCCAGGGGTGGCTTTGCCTCTCTGAACCTTGATTTCTTTATCTGCAAAATCGGGCTCCCTGCACTCTCCTCAAATGCTGAGTGAGGGGGTTACCTGGCCCAGTGCAAGAGTGGGCCCTGTGGAGGCAGCCTGGAGCAGGGCGACAGAGCCGGGTGATGGAGGCGGCCTGGAGCAGGGTGATGGAGGCGGCCTGGAGCAGGGTGATGGGAAAGGCAGGGCCAAGCCAGCCCCCAGCTGGGGGGGAGGGGCCGGGAGGGCGAGGAGGCCAGGGCCAATTGCCTGGCAGGGCTTAGCAGGAGAAACCCAAGTCCTGCTGCATAATTGATGGCTGTCTAGCAGAAGCAAGCTTTGTGAGCAGCCCGAGGGGCTGGAGTAGCTGGGCGGTGCCGGCTGTGCACGCACCTGCTCTAGAGCCCTCCATGGCCTCTGGATGAGTGGTCAGGGCCTCCAGCCTGCCAGCCAGGGCTGACCCCGCAGCCGCACGCCTCCTCCCTCACCTCTGGTGGCCACTGCAAGGCGGGAGCCTGGCCCCGCCTGGGACATCCCCGGCCCCGGCTCGGCCCCGGCCTGCACAGGGTCTGTGGCAGTCCCTGAGGGTCCTCACTATTCCTCTTTCCCCTGATGCTGGGCAGGCCCCGGCCCCATAGTTGGACAAGGCCCGGGCAGCCCTGTTAGTTTGGGACATTTGTCCCTGGACCTTTCTAGATCAGAGAGCTCCAACATGGGCCACTTTGTGGTTGTTCCTAGGTCTCCTGCATGGCTCCCGCCAGCTTGGGTGGGGACCTGTGTGACCCCTTGCGCTCCAGGTATACCTGGGGGATGGCTCTGACGGGGTGGCCATGTTCCCCCTCCACCACTCCCAGTGGCCAAGCAGATGCGCGCCCTCCCCCCCTCCCCGCACACTCCCCGTCCGCAGCACACCAGCTCTGTGCCCACCCGAGAGGCAGGCGCCAGCTGTGCCGCCAGCTCATGATCCTTCTTCCTCAGCCTCATGGGAGCTGGGATTACAGGTGTGTGCCACCATGCCCAGTAAGGGAAGTCCTCTGTCTGTTACCAGCTCAGAATACTGATGCCGATGGCCACACAGCTGCCAGGATCGAGGCTTGACGCAGTTCCCTCTGATTCTGGAAGCTGAATTCCCCTTCAGTGCCCTGGCTCCCTTCCCCTTCATTTCTTCCTTGGACACTCGCTACCAAGTTCCACCCCACCTCCTCGTTCCACCGAAGAGCAGCCCAGGCCCAGTGTGGGTGCAACTTGGTGGCCCGTGAAGGCCTTGGCTAGGAGCCCCCCCTCACCCCAGCCTCCTTCTGAGCTCTCCCCTTCACCCCCCAGTTCACAGAGGAGAAATTTGGCCAGGCTGAGAAGACCGAGCTCGATGCCCACTTTGAAAACCTCCTGGCCCGGGCGGACAGCACCAAGAACTGGACAGAGCGGATCCTGAGGCAGACGGAGGTGCTGCTGCAGCCCAACCCCAGTAAGTGCGCATGCGCGCGCCCGTGCATGGGGCGAGCCAAGCCAGAGCCCGCTGTGCTCACCGTGGAAGTGTCCAGAGAGGGCTTGGGGTGGAGACCTGGCCGCTGTTAGCCTTGCTGGCTACAGGGAAGGGAGGGACCCGCTCACGAGCGCCTGGCTGGGTGGCGTGTGCCAGGCCCTCTTGGCCTTGGGCCTTCGCTTCCAGGCCAGTGATGGTTCATGGAACCAGTCTTGATGTGTGTGGAGATGAGACCATTTCCGAGGCCACTGGTATGGGTAGGGCTCGGCTTGGGTCTGCCGCTGGGACTTTGTGCTTGAGCCAGGACGCCCATGGTTTCGACTGCTGTCTTCCCACAGGTGCCCGGGTGGAGGAGTTCCTGTACGAGAAGCTGGACAGGAAGGTGCCCTCGCGTGTCACCAACGGGGAGCTGCTGGCCCAGTACATGGCGGAGGCGGCCGGCGAGCTGGGCCCCACCACGCCCTATGGTGAGCCCTGCGGCCCGCTGGGTGCGGGGCCGGGTCTCCCTCCTTCCCCCCAGCCTCCCTCCTGCCCTCCTATTTCTTCTGAATTGAACCTGGGTTGTAAGTTAATTCAACACCTGCAGTCCTTCTGAATGTGAACCCTGCCATCAGAACAAGAGATGATAGAACCCACTCCTTCCCCTAGCCCGCCGTGGAGTCTGGGGGGAAGGGTTGTCAGAGGTAAGACCTGGAATCTCAGGCTTCTGGGCAAGCACTCTACCACTGCGAGTGAGCACTGTGCCACTGCAAGGGAGCCCTC